TCCACCTGATGAGCCAAAATACAGTCTCCATAAAAGCTGCTGCTGTATCTGTTTTGTATGCTTTCTTTCTAGCAATAGTGCCTTGTTAAGGTTAAGCATCTGATAAGTAGTTATTACTGATTAATGAGTCATGGGCTAACTATATCCATAGTGCTTACCTTTGCAGAAAGTAATGCATTGGGAAAAGCATGGTGGCACACTTCACTTCTTTTATGTTTTGATATTATCTGAATCCTTGAAAATGAGACTATATTACCATTTACTTAATTTATGCAATAACAGATTTTGAAAACTGTCTCTAAGATTTTCAGGCCATCTCTAATATTAAAAAACAAAACACAAATGTTCTGTTTTGTATTAAGTATACGGTTTATTCAATTTATGTATGTATATATATGTATGTATAAATATTTTATTTATTTATTTGAGAGAGAGAGAGCACACCAGCATTGGGGAGAGTGAGAGGGACAAGCAAGCGGACTCCCCACTAAGCAGGGAATCCAACACAGGGATCGATCCCAGGACCCTGAGAGCATGATCTGAGCTGAAGGAAGACGCTTAACTGAGCTACCCAGGCACCCTGATTTACTTGATTTAATAACTAGTTAAACCTAAACCACTTAATATATGATGTTTGACAAATGTCTGTTTCCCTTGAAAATTTAAAAAACCGGGCATCTTTTAAGCTCACCGTGGTTTTGCGGGGGGCGAGGGAGTAACTGCATGCATTTGGAACCACAGTATTTTAACAGTATTTGAATTCCCTAGTTAAATAAAAATTTTAAATGTGTGTTTTTATTCTTATGTTCATGAGCACAAGATTGCACACAATTTCTTTCCTTAGAACATCATGCCTGCTTAGGTTTTGCATTTATTTCTCTTATAATTATTTATTTATAACTTTAATCTCAGTGTGACTTAGTAATATGCACATAATGCAAAGTGTGATAGTGATCGTAATATTCTTTTTCTAGAATGTGATGGATAATGATGAAAATTTTAAACTAAAAAAAGTGTATTTTTACATTCCCGATGTAAATTGTTTTAGAATTATTTGTTAAGTAATTAACTTAGAATTAAATAATTAACAGAATTAAATTATCTAAATACCTATGTTCTTGACTAATGTATTTCTTCAAGGTTTAATGATAATGATTTTGTTGAGGGGTATGATCCCTTCCTGACCTGAATAGTAATTGGCTATTTTTTTATGAGTTTCTTCTGTTTTTAGGAAAATAGGTTAAATGTATAGTTCTTTAGAATTTTGCTTATTGTTTTCATGACCTATTCATTTCTATATCAACACTTAAAATGTTAACATGTCAAAATGAAGTATGAGCTTGATAGCATCTATAATAGCTTCTAGAACGGTGACTTATAAAAATACACATACGCTGAAGACTATTTCACCTTTTATCATTTTTAAAATGTATTTTGTTTTCCTTTTAAAGTGTCATATTTTTATGATGTGGGAAATCCATTAAGACTGCCACCATTTAAGACTTCCCCAGAAATTGAACAGCAAGTATATTTAACAGTGATGACGATATAAAATAGCATTTTTGAAAACCACATTGAGTTATTTGATTAGTGAACATTCTATATTTAAAGACAACTAAAGTGCAGTAGAAACACTAAATTACCTGATCCGTAACTTAAGAGTAGTATATCCACAAATTAAATTCTCTGTAACTACTCCATGAGACATTAAATAAAGATGGTATCATCTTCCTCACAAAGTCAATGCCAGAGTCAACTGAGGTAAACCTTATCACTAATGTTCGACGCAAGAATGTCATTAAACTAAAAAAAAAAAAAAAAGTCATTGAACTAATATAAGCACATAATTTTTAAAAAAGCTCAAGTGATGAAATGTTATTTTATAAAGTTGCAACTTACTCTTATTTTGCTTAATTAGCTGACATTTCACCAATATTTATTCAAGAAAATATTTACCAATAATTTTCTAATGTGTCAATCATTGGAGTAAGACTGGAGATGTCTAACTGGTCAAGACAAAAAAGCCTTTTCCTACCATGGAGTTTCTTTTTTCCAGTATGTATCTGAGGGGCAGGGATAAAGAAAATTAATTACATGTAAAGTAAACGGATATGATATTACAGACAGTGATCAATATGGTGATAAATTAGCATGAGAAAACTAGTGACTGGGAAGTTACCTTACATAGAATGGTCAGGGCAATGAGGTAGCCTCTGAACTAAGGGCTTAATGATGAAGAAGAACCAGTCACATACACATCCTATGGAAATACATTCCCGTGCAGAGGAGCCAGCAGAAACAAAGAACAAGAGATGGGAAAAAGACAGACATAACTGAGAAGCAAGAAGAATGCTAATGTACAGCATAGTGAGGAAGGTTTCAGAGGTCTCAATGCAGGAAGAGGCAGGGATAAGGGATGTTTTTTTAAAACATGACAGAAAGGTTGAATGTGTTCAAATTCCAATAGAAAGCCTTTGGGTGATTTTAATCAGGTGGTTGACATGATTGAATCTATTTAAAACAGCAATTCAAATCCAACTAATTCTTAGGCTCTTGTATTAATCTAAGTAGGAGATAATGGATATATAATAAATAGAATTAGTAGAGACAGAGGGAAATAAGCTCATTTGGGAAATATTTTGGAAACAGAACCAAGAGAATGAATTTTCTGACAGCAGTACATAAATAGATCTATCCAGGGTAATTTATGCTGTACCAGAATGCGGATTCCATAACATGAAAATGGATCAGTTATAAACTGATGAAAGGGAGTGGAAAGGGAGCAGTTCAAATATCTTATTCCACACATGTAAAATATAGAAACCTATCACATTTCCAAAAGAAGAGTCTGAGTAGTCTGTAGGAGAGCCTGGAACACACAGGAGATATCAAAACTGTTGCTATCAATCTGGCAATCATCTACAGGTTATATTGAAGCCATAAGGCCAGATGACATTATTCAATAAAAGAAGAAAAATGCCACGCTGAAGCCCTATGGCAGGCTGGTACATTGAGGTCTAGGAGCAAAACCTCAGCTGTGGCTGGGGAGTAGAGTAAATTATCAGGATATTCTATTGTCACTGATACCTGGGAACAGAGATTTTTCAGGAAATTGAGGCTGCTTTTCAGTCAAATCATGCTCAGAGGAAAATTAAGATGAAAACATGGGATTCGTATTTTGGAGGCTACAAGGTGCTGGTGCCTTGGTAAAAAATTTTCATTGGTGCACTGAGAAAAAAACTACAGTAAACCAAAAGAAGAGTGAGAATGAAAATGAGACAAAAGTCATAGACAATACTTGTATTATTAGTCATACAGTCTGGAGGAGAAAATAAACAACTTTATTATTAATGTAAGAATTATATTTATTCTGTTTATGAAAATATAGAATGGCAGTTTTGTTCCTTTTTTCAGCATTAATTAATTAATATTCACATTCTTTATAGTTCTACTCACTTAAACCCCATGATTATATATACCAAGGAGAAATTTAACTGTTAACAGCTTATATTTGCATCATTAAACAATGCAAAATATAATTCAAACCATTTCTTAAAATAGAAGGGATTCTAATTCATTTTCAAGAAACGTTTGGTATATTCATTGATAATACATTATTGTCAAGACCCAATTACTGGTAATTTGCCAATATTACTCCAAGGCAATCTTTTTGGTAACTAAAAATGCATGTATGTGAGTGTGTGTATAGGGACAGAGAGGGAGACTGACACAGAAAGAGAGAGCAATAAAGACAAAGGGAAGAAAGAATGAGCTTTGAGAACAAATGATTTAAATGACTATATGTATGATTATGTAGAAACATTAATATTTAAGTATAATTTAAAGAAGACACATTTTACTTATCTTTCCATGCTAAATATAATCCATTTTTTAAAATGTAAGTGATAACAATTATTAACAAGTTGTTGGACTGCTTGGTAGAATTCAGAAGATAAATACTAATGAACATGCTATATTGTGTCATATGTTGATTAATGATTAATTCTGGAGTGTTGTAGACCATTTTACATACCATATTTTAAAAAGGATAAGCTTAAGTTGCAAATGAATACTAAATATAAATGAATATAAAATATTTCTTAGAAGAGAAAGACTAAAATAATTAAAAATAATTACATTCAGTGACTCAGGGAAGGCAAATGGAAGTTAAAAAAAAAATTGGTATCCCCCTTCAAATATTTAGACAGTTGTCTTATGGATAAAATTTGGCTTGCATTCTTCAAAATGGTCCAATGCATACTCAAAAGGGAATAGTTGCTCCTTGAAATTTCCCATTGCTAATTGGAAATGAAGCCAGATGACAGTAAAGCAGTGCCCAATCATGGCAAGTCCACAGTAAATTCTAAAATTTTTGAGAGTTAACTACTTAGGAAATAGAATACTCTTTTTAAAAAATATTTTTAAAGACTTTATTAATTTACTTGTCAGAGAGGGAGGGAGAGAGAGAGAGCCTGCAAGAGAGAGACCAAGAGAGAGAGCACATACACAAGCATTTTATAGTGATCTCATGTTAGGCGAGAGGAAGGAGACACATAACTGGTCTCTTGTGAATTTCACAGTATCTTGTGATATTGTTAAGTCTGAACTATGTTTATATTTTAGCCTACCATAAAATTTTCTTTAAGCCTAAGCATCTATGAAGAATTCAAACTTTCTGTGAAAAGAGAATTTAGTATTCCCTGTCACAAAAAATCTGAACACACAGAAACAGCTGGAGAAAACAAAGAATCAAAACTTGATTCAAAACAAAAATATCTGCAGTTAAAAAATTGAACTGTGGGGCACCTGGATGGCTCAGTGGGTTAAAGCCTCTGCCTTCTGCTCAAGTCATGATCTGGAGCCTGCATCGGGCTCTGCTCAGCGGGGAGCCTGCTTCCTCCTCTCTCTCTCTGCCTGTCTCTCTGCCTACTTGTGATCTCTGTCTGTCAAATAAATAAATAAAATCTTAAAAAATAACTAACTACCTCTTCCGCCCTGGGCCCGGAAGGGTGATGTGGCTGGGGCTTCGCCGGCCTCACTATGTCTGCCATTTTCAATTTTCAGAGTCTGTTGACTGTAATCTTGCTGCTTATATGTACCTGTGCTTATATCCGATCCTTGGCACCCAGCCTCCTGGACAGAAATAAAACTGGATTGTTGGGTATATTTTGGAAATGCGCCAGAATTGGTGAACGGAAGAGTCCTTACGTTGCAGTATGCTGTATAGTGATGGCCTTCAGCATTCTCTTCATACAGTAGCTTGGAAGAATATCAGAATTTAATTGCCATCAGATTTCAGTATGGGAAAGGACTTACTTACAGAAAATAATGGAGTGAATGGTTAACCCTTTTATCTCTGAACATTGAATGAGATAAATTTCCAGCTGCTGTTCTCTATTTTTATTATTGGACCAATGTTCTATATAAATAGGATGTAACCATTTAATACTCAAAGAGTTTAATATGTCTGTAACAATCAACCTCAGTACTGTCACTACAATATTACATTCTGCAAATGTTATTCTGTTATGTCAGATACCAGTTTTTCGTGAGGTATCTCTAAGGCGCATAATAGAAAACAAAATTGGTAAATGACCCAAGTTTCTTTCACTGTGATTTGGGAATGATAAATCCTTATAGAATGAGACATTTTTCTGGACTAGCTTTTTTATTGGGGAAAAAGTTCAATTTGTGTTGGTAAGGATTGCATTCATATTTAATAATGCTTGCTTTTTCCTCTGGTCATACCAGAGCATTAACAGAGTACCTCGAAGCAAACTCGCTAGTGTATCACAGGTGTTTCAGCTATTTAAAACAAGCTATGCAGTTCTTAAGGAGGAAGATAAATGAGATCAGACTTAAGAGTAGTACTGGGAAGATGTTCATATTTAGCATAAAAGTTTAGAATAACTGACTGGTATAGTAGCCTCTGAAAATTTGACCGGCTGTCATTCTCTAAATAAGACTGCGTACTTAGAGTGAAAATAGCAAAATAGAACAATTACAGAATGATAATCCGTTTGTGTTTTTTATTCTTTTTATAAATAAATATATTTTAAAAAATTGAACTGTCTCATTGAAAAATAAAATTCCAACTTCAGGTAAGAAGTAGTCATCAGTTTATAATGAATATATTAAAATGATAATGCATGGTAAAATCAGTAATCAAATTTGTTTTAAACAGTGAACAGATGAACAATCAAATACTAAAAATATCTTGTGAAATAATATTTTAAGTCCTTATATATATAATCTTTTTTTGAAAAAGATAGATAAAATTAAGAAAATAAATTAAAATCTGGAACTTAAATCATATTAGTTATATCTATAATTTATTTAGCTTTATATAAGCCTATTATATCTTTATAAATATGATAAAGTATATTTGAAAGCCTTTTGCCAGTTTTTCAAAACAAATATTATTTTTCCCATTCTAAAAAGGGGAAAAAAGAATCAAAGTTGTTTGATAATATTTTTGAGAACTCACAGCCAAAGCAATCTATTTCATTGCATACTATTTATCTGCTCCTACAACTAAAAATGTAGCTCTTCTATTAGGCACAATTGATAATCTTTTTTTAACTGTCAACTACTTGTTTGAGGAATTTATATTCAAACCCAATAGTGGGGATGCCTGAGTGGCTCAGCTGGTTAAGCCTCTGCCTTGAACTCGGGTCATGATCTCAAGGTCCTGGGATTGAGTCCCGCATCAGGCTCTCTGCTCAGCGGAGAGCCTGCTTCTCCCTCTCTCTCTGCCTGCCTCTCTGCCTATTTGTGATTTCTCTCTCTGTCGAATAAATGAATAAAATATTTTAAAAAAAGAAATTCAATAGTGATTTCGCTGTGCACACGAATATTTTATTTCAAAGAATATATTGAATAATTGAGAATTCATTGTTCTTTAACTGTGATAACAGGTTTTAAATATATAGTATTTTAGCTTTTACTTTAGTTTTTAAAAAATAGGTTAATGGATCATTGTTGATTAGTGAATGCAAGAATCCTCTCTATGAAATAAAAAAAAAAATCTCTAGATGTGGTAAGTGGAAGGCTCTTTTACTTAGGTTTGGAAATCATACTTAGGTAATATCCTTCTAATAATGGCAAGATTTTATTTGGAAGTTAATAGCGAAATCTATTCCTAGCATCTTTGTATGCTTAGGTCAATAAATGTTAGTTGGGCCCAAATCTGGCTCTAACTTTTTCATACAGATATATCAACTTGTAAAAACCTTATTAAAATGCACAGGTTATATTAAATTATATAAAATATATATAAAGTATGATGTATAATCTAACTTATATTGATACATAGGACTTAAATTGGTAGACTAAAAACAATTGGTAAATAAAATATTTTTAAGTATACTTCCTTCAAATACTAGATCTTCTGGTTTATGTAAAATATAATTAACTCTTCCAAAAATGAAATATTCAATTTTCAAAATATGTTTATGCTAACGCTGGTCATAGCAGTCTATTTGTACAAAGTGTACTACACATTAACTATAACAGAAAACAATAGCACATACTATTTTATTTATTTATTTTTAAAGATTTTATTTATTTTTTTGACAGATCACAAGTGGGCAGAGAGGCAGGCAGAGAGAGAAGGGGAAGCAGGCTCCCTGCTGAGCAGAGAGCCCAATGTGGGGCTCTTTCCCAGGACCCCTGGATCATGACCTGAGCCAAAGGCAGAGGCTTTAACCCACTGAGTCACCCAGGAGCCCCAGAACATACTATTTTAAAAAGACATGATTAATGTGCAATATGAGGACTGTATAAATTATATAATATGAAAATATTGAATCTGCCCTTTCCGGCAGATTTTTTCTGCTTTCCAACACAACACCATCACCTCTCATTTGGACCATTGGACGAAACTCCTAAGTGATTCCCCTCACTGCCATTAAACTTGTCTCGTCTACTCTCTTTTCCAAATGAGAGCAAGAGACATTTTTAAAAGGCAAATTTGTTCTTGTTGCTCTCTCACTTAATACCTATCACTCTATTCCTGTTAATTTAGGATGAATTTCAACACGCCTAGCAGACAGTCTATTGCTTTATCTCGACTTAATTTCATGGAACTCTGCCTCATTCATTAATCTCTAGCTGCTTCGATCTCTTTTTCTGATGGCCTTTATTGCTGCAGGGACTTTGCACATCCTTCCTCTCTATTGTGAATGATCACTCCCCCTTCCTTCACCTCACAGGCCTCAGATTAAGTATCACTTATTATGTCAAATGAGCCTACTTCCCCTTTTTTGGTGCCTCCATAGGTTATCATTTTCTTTATTGTAGTTTTAACTTCATTTTTGAAAAAAAATATGTTTTGTCCCCAGCCTTAAGTAGAAAACTAAATGAGTTAGGGAAAAACACTGCTTTATCACTAATGGCTAGTCTAACATGTGACATAAAGTAGGTACTTAATATATTTTGGTGACTGAAAATAAATTTCAAGTAGTCTCGGTGCTTTGCTATGTTTAACTGCGCTATACGTTCTGGGTGAAAATCTGAATTTGTAGATTCAAAAAGTAAAAGCTAATGAAATATTTTTATAGGTAGACTGTACAAAAAATAGTTTAATTTTTGATGTAGTTTAACCAGATATTCAGATTATTTGTTCCATTAAAAATACAGTATTTTCCAACTACCCCAGCATTGAAAATAACCTGTTTAAAAATCAGAGTTCTCTCACAATATCAAAAGATACATGTACTCTCATGTATAATTAGCATTATTCATAATAGCCAATATTTGGAAACGACCTTAAGTATCCGTCAATGGATTACTGGAAAAAGATGTGGTATGCACATATACATATGCATACAATGGAATATTATTCATCCAGGAGAAAAAAAGGAATCGTGCCATTTGTGACAACATGGATGGACCTTGAGGGCATTCTGTTAGGTGAGGTAAGTGAGACAGAGAGAGACAAGTACTGTATATTCTCACTTACATGCAGAATCTAAAAAAAAAGTGGAACTCACAGACACAGAGAGGAAAATGGTAGTTATCAGGGGTTGGCAATGGGGGAACTGGGGAGTTGTAGTTTAAGGATACAAACTTATAAACAATCAATCAGTAAGTTCTGAGAATATAATGCACAGAATAGCGGTTATAGATAACACGACTCCACTATAAACTTCAAAGTTGCTAAGAGACTAGATCTTAATTGTTCCAACTACAAAAATGAAATAATTATGTGCAGTAATAAAGGTGTTAGCTAATGCCACAGAGGTATTTAATCATAATGAGATACATAAATTTATCAAATCAATATGCTGTATACCTTAAATTTATATAATGTTATGTGTCAATTATATCTCAATTTTTAAAAATCAGGGTTTTCTTTGATGTTTTTGTTTGTTTGGTCCTTTTGTATTTTTGTTTTTTAGAATCTGTTAGCGGGTATTTCAACATTCAGAATGATAAAATTCAATTCTCAAAGCCTGAAAAGCATTTGAACAAGCATCAGTATGCTTTATTCTACATTGGTCTCTAATATTGGTGCAAAGAATTACAGTGAGTACATAATGAAAAAAGCTTAGGAAGAACAAATTGAATTAAATTCGTATTTGCTTTTAAAATACTATCTGAGGTTAACTAAATTTTAAATTTTGCCATCTATGTACCATAGCAGAGAAAGTAGCATAAAAAAGAGCCAGAAAATAATTATCTAGGTCAATTTCTTTAATGATACAATTTATCAGGCTTACTAAATGTTACCCTGTAGGAAAAAGTAGAGTTGACACAGCAATATTTCACTGGCATTATAGTCTTGGAAAATTGCCTAGTTTAAAAGTAAGATATTTTGGTTATGGTTGATTAAACTATTTAAACAGTCTTTGCTAGTGTATGTGGCTTGTCATTAGATAATCTAAAATAAACACATAAAACAAACAGAAAATATATTTTTCTCCTGTGATTCAGTGCTGTGTATATTTTTATTATTTTAAGTGCACATTATTGTGGCTTTTAAGTTAACTCTGTTCTGGATTGAAAGTATTTTACATAGAAGTGACTCAATCACTTTCCCGCTATTGCAGTAGATTGATTCACACATACAAAGGAGAAGTTATCCATTTGGCCTTTTTATTGTTTTGACTATATTTTGGTATTAAATTATTTATAACACATTTTAATGCAAATTTATTTGACCCGTGGAGTTGATTCTAAACATTGTGAAAGGTTTACATGTCACCTTTACTTAGCCTCATCAATCCCAGCATTATGCTGAATAATGCAGTATTTATAATTACTATTTTAAATTCTTTGATGGAAATAAGTTTCTATGCTCATTAATTCAAATAAGTATGTTTGATAATAACCAGAACTGCCAATTCCAAACATTCTATCTTTTTCATCCTGGGGACTTCTTTATTATATTCTTT